AGACATTACTGGCCCCATGAAGTTATTACTTAGGCTGATCAGAAGGGCAGAAATGATTTAAAAAATCTAAAGCAAAGAAATCGTGTTGTAAAAATTTGATGTACCCTAAGGAAAAAAAAAATTATGGTGTTATCAGCAAAGTGCAAATAAGAAATTTCTATGTCCTCTTCTCCAACTTGTAAACCTTTTACCAAACCTCTCTTTCCTTGCAAAATCATCTGGCAAAGGAGTTGAATTTGGAAATGGTAATAAATGATCTCCTTGTCTAATTCCCCACTTCTCTTTAAATCAAGATCTAGATTTTCCGTTGGCAATCATAAAAAAGTCACTGTAGAAAGACAAACCCTAATCCAATTTCTGCCCCTCCTACCAAAACCTTTCATCTTAAGGACCTTATCTAGAAACTCCACCTGAATTTATTGTAAAATTTATCAAAGTCTAATTTAAAAACTTTAGCATTCCGCTTTTTCCTCAGTTGATCCACTTTTCATTAGCCACAACAGACATGTCTAAAATTTGTTTCCCTATCAAAAGAAAACTTGAGTGGTGGAGTTTGTATCATCAAGAACCCCATCAATCTCTTAGACAGCATCCTAGTTATGATCTTGTAGGTGCTACTCAGAAGATAGAGGCCTATTGACAGTAACCATTTTATAAAAATTTCCCTTTGATGCATGTGATGAGTTGGTCTTGGGTTGCCTGATGAAATTAGATGATTTATGATTTTTTAAATCTTTACAGGAAGTCAGACTAATCTTTTCTGAGGTTTTGAAAATTCACACATTTAGGTTTCTTTAGAAAAAAAAAATCAATTTCGGAATTTCATCCTCTCTCTAGGTGACTTTTTATGTTTGAAAAAAATAAACAAATTTTAAGCAACTTTTTAGTGGAATTCCAGCCTTAAGCAGTACCATAAATATTATTTTAAGCTTAAAATTTGGAAGTCTAGTTATAATTTCCATCAAAATTATACGATCTAAAATTTAATTGTTCAAGTTCTAGATGGAATCAATATTAAAATGAATTTTATCATTTGCAATAGTTCCGAACATAATAAATTTAAATTTTGCGTAGAAATTATATCTAATTATATACTTTTGGACTTTATTTATTCTTGTTTTTATATTGGAAGAAGTATTATTAAGAGAAAGAAAGAGAAATACAATCATGGAGAATAAAGCATCCTCCTCAAACAGTAAAACTAGAATAAACAATGAAGATTAAGAAAAGGGTCATCATGTGGGAGGATAAATGATTGCCTCCCAGTTCAGATGAAGCTCAGCAAGAGAATGGTTGCAAAAATTCCTGCAAGCTTTGGTCCAAAAGGTAGCTAGAAAAGTCAATTTAACTCACATCTCTTGAAATGATGAATAATGATCATCAAAATTTCTCCAGTTGTGCTCAAGCCAAAAAATTCACAAGCCTGCAAAAATGGTCCCCTGTCAAATGGTTTTGGCCCTCTTCTGGACTCCCTCCCCTTGAAAACTAGTTTTGTATTATTCTAAAACATCGTAATAGCTTCTGGAAAGTTAGTCTCACCTCATTTCACTCTATTTCACATCATGGAATCTGTTAAGCTTATCCTATCTATGAGACATGGGATATTTGGTTTATACTATACTTAAAAAGTTTCATGTTGAGCTTTCAAACAATAAGTAATTGCTATCATGTTTCTTGCTTTCTGATTATAGATTAAATATATAAGAATTATAACAAATAGGGCCCTAAACATCATTCTTTTTATCTTGTAATTCTTTCTTTCAGAATAAAACTAATATATCTTTTTTGATGGTATTTTCAGGAAATTTGCTTCGTTAAATGTGGCAAACTCAAGAAATGCAACAAATAACAGTCAGCAACCCTGGTTTCGCGAATATATGCCTTTTGTTTGGCAGGTAATGTTCCATGACTAACTGCATGACTCGTTACGAAGCATCTTTTTGGAGAGTGTTTATGAATCATGTTCTCTATTTATTTCAATTTTACTTGGTAATCTAGGGTTGAACTCCTAAACTAGGTTCAACTATAGGACTTCTCGTCCAAACCGTATTTGTACCGGAAGGCGGTTTTCAAAATATTTTCTTCTTTAACTCTCAACCAATGATACCCGGTCCTGAAATCGATCTTAAAGAAGATCGTGTCTCATTGCAGTTGATCAAAGAGATTGTCGATTCAGGGTAAGGGGTACTTGCTTTTAACGGTCACTCGATTGAGTACCCTATAGTTCACGTAGAGTTGGAGGGTACCATCTTTCTTCTTTATGAACAACACCAGAACGTCCCAAAGGGAATAGCTAAGGCGAATGAATTTCTAGGTGATAAGATCAAAAAGCTGATGTTCCAGCTCTATTAGCTCAGTGCGACTCATGCGATACGTGGGCTTCGAGATCGGCTAGGTTCTAGGCAATAATTCAATCAGGAACTCTACCTCACGTGGGGAAAGTAGATCACGGAGTTCGATGGAAAAGACATCCGAAAAATTATAAACAATTGGTATGGAACACACAACAAGATCAGCGTCCATATTCCTGTTCATTCACTTGTTAGAAAAATGATAACAACTTTTATTTCTTTTTTAGGGATCGTAAGATTATAATTTTACTTTTACAGTCTATTATAGCTCTATATCTTTCCAATCAATCTATCTCTAATATTATATCAAATCCTATAAAATCTAATAGTATCAGGTTTACACATACCTCTATCACTGAAGTTTTTATCCTACAGTTTTTATATACACAATGAGCCTCTAGTAGTTCCTTAGAGGGAGTTTCAACCACTAGCGTTTTTCTAAAATTTCTGATTTAAATTCTAGGTTACAAGTAAATGCATAAGAAATAAACGAGTGAGTTGCACCAGTATTGATCAAAGCTTTGACAGAAGTATTATGAATAGAAAGTATACCCTGAATAAGGACAAGAGCAGGAAGGACATCAGATTTATGTAAGTAGGACATTCGACCTTGTGATACGGGTTGGATTACATCCTTTAGTCGTTTAGGGCAGTCTTTTATAAGGTGTCGGGTACTTCCGCACTAATAGTAGGCGTTATTGATACGCCGACAGAGCAGGTCACCATGCGAGCGATCACAATGTTGACAAGGTTAGTTAGCTCGAGTAAGTGGAGCTGTAGGTGGGGGCAAGGCAGGAGGAAGGGTCAGGTAATCTTTTTCTAAGCTGTTGGGGTTATTGTTAGGAACGAACTCGGGTAAAGCATTAGTGCTTAACCGAGATAAGATTTTCGGCCAACTGGACATATTTAAACACCTCCGCATACGAGGTAGGTCTCAGCATTGCGACCCGATCATAAATGTCGGCACGAAGGCTTTTGAGAAACTTCCTATTTTTTCGGCTTTTGGGAATGACCATCAAATGGGCAAACCTAAACAGTTGAACAAAGCGGGCTGCATATTGGACTACAGACAAGCTTCCTTGGCGGAGGTTCTGGAATTCCTCCTCTTTCTTTTCCCGAACATAAGCAGGGAATAAGTTATCAAATAAAACGTTAATGAAAACTTCTCATGTAATAAAGGTAGGCAGGACTTCTTTCTTAAGTCGCCACTAATGTTTGGCTTCACCGGTTAACATGAAAGCTGCAAGAGGGACTTTATAGGATTCAGGCTTCGGCTGCTAAAGAATCAGGACCACCTTCAAAGTGTGGGGGGTTAAGTTTTCTAAACTCCGCTATATTGTAGAAGATAAACCGATCTGTGTTTCAGAATTCAAGGGCAGAGGGTGGACAAGGGTTGGTCTGGTTCTGTCCTACGGCTGCAGTTAATCCTTGAATGGCTCGGGAAAATTCTGCAAATTCAGTCCTGATCGGATGATCCGGGGTTTCGGGTCGTTCAGTACGCTCTACGAATGGTCTTCCTCACGTCATTTTTATAAAAGAAATGAAGACACGAGTTGGAGATTTAATCTTTGAAAATAGGACATATTTCTTCCCTAGGTACTCTTAAAGGTTTATCTACCCTAGACCTCAGTGTAAATGATTTATTCTCAAAAATTCTGCTCTGATACCATCTGTGACATCTCAAATGCTAATTAAGGCAAATGGGTGTCAGATACAGATTTAGAATAACGAGTGCATGATAAAAATTTATGCAGCAGAACCAAACCATAACAAATCCTTTACAAATATATATAATATTCCAAATACATACATATACTGAGGCTAGAAGTGGGTACAAAATACAAAACATAAGGGCCGCTTTTTTCATTATGTTATTGGATTCATCAGAATGCGTAAACAGTCATTCACTCAGACTTATGGATCCACGGGATTCTCATAAACTTCTAATGGTAGGTCTGCCTGCGGTTCCTAATTTTCTTCCTTATCTGGGGGGTATGAAAAGAGTGAGTTTCATATGTTTAGTAAAGAAAACAATATTAAATTAAGATTTTAAGATTTCAAAAGTTTATTATTTTATCTTACCGTTTAACTTTCTCGTTTATTTATCTCACCATTATGAAAATCATTTATTTGTCAAAAAAATGGTACGTTAGTACAAAAAATTAAATATAAATCATGTCAGATAATAGAGAAAATCAAATAAATCATAAAATGCACAGATCGTGGAATACTTCGCGAAATCATTACAAATTTCTATCTCTAAGAGCATAGAAAGATTTTCAACTATTCAAGTGGAATGACCAGATCAGATACAGATACGACATTTTGTTCAGGCCCACTTCCGGCTGACCAAACTATGGTACGATTTATGATCACGTCCCGTACCAATCATAGTGGTTCTAATAGATATTTGTAGTTACGACATCATTTAGTCGCGGGTGACCCCTACATATAGTGCGATACCACTCTCGTCAGATGGCACACCTTCATCCACTAGGAGCGGTCTTACGTCCTTTCAGACCAGATAAGGGAGGAGGAAACAAATACCCCGAAGGGTAAGGGGAACAGATACTCCTCAGAGAATAAAAAGGCTAACGAGACAGTTGATGCAATATACATGTTAATACAGATACACTTCGAACAATACAGGATTCATTCCACTTTTCTCTTTTTTTTTTTTAATACTTTTTACTATTACTGATTACATATTATATTTATTACATGCAAATTCATCAAGTGTCTGTAATTTAAATAGCGTGCTTGAAGACCAGAACAATTCGACTTATCTGAGCACAGAAGCATATAAAACAGGTAAAATAACAATTATATTAAATTCGTTTATCTAAAAATACTCCTTAAGACGTCGAAAGTAATGGTATATTTCTTACCGAAATCTTAATGTTTTCTCCCTCACTGTTCTCCTTTCTTTCTCTTTTTCTCTCACTAATCTACTATCTTTCTCTCTCTTTCTAAATCTTTGTAAAATGGAAGAATATAAGTGTAAAGAGAAAGGGAAAGGGGAGGGCAATTTATAAAATTTCGGAACCGTTGAATTCGCGACAAGTGGCGAAATCTGGTGAAGAGAGAGGAGAAAAAGATGTTTCGCATTAAAAACGAGGGAGGAGGACCTCCTCCACCGGCGACGACAACGCACTGCTCGAGGTGGCAGTGCTCCGGCTGGCACACTGCAGGCTAGCTTGCAAGCGCACAGGCCTACTGCCACGTGCGCAGGGCTCCACGCGCGCAAGCCTATTGCGTGCAAGCCTCAGGCGCACAAGGCCTATCCGCACAAACCTGTTGTGTGGACGATGCACGCACAGTGTGCAACGCCTATCCCCGCGCAAGTTGAGGCCCGGGCGGCCCACCTGCGCGCGACAGGACGCGCACGCAAGTCCTGGTCTCGCGTTGTGTGCGCAGAAGGGATGTGTATGCTGTGTGCATGTCCCGTGTGTGCTGGCATGTGGATGGGGCGTGCGCGCTGTGCGCAAGCACCCATGCTGGCAAACCGCCTTCTCGTAGGATTTTTCCCGCAAGCAAATTTTCCCGTTTCATCGTCTAAATTTTTTTTTAATTTAAAATAAAATAAAATAATTTAAAATACATAAAATAATTGAAAATATATAAAATAATTTCAAATAAAATAAAATTTAAATTAAAATTACGAATCACAAAAAATGCTAAACAACGTAAATTAATTAAGTTTAAAACACTCAAAGACTCAAATAAAATTTCTAAATTCTTTTAACACAACAGAATGATTGTGCATAGATATTGTCAATATGAGTTTGATATTTCCTATTAGCTGGGATTCTATTTAGTTATCCTCTATTATGAATTTCTCAGTTAATAAATTAATTTTCTTATTTAGCTTATTTTCTTTCTAGAGTTAAATTTTTTCTTATTTTGAGTAATCCTATCTTAGTTGTTATTTTGACTTTTATGATTATAGACACAAATCATAATCATATGTCATCCAATTTCTCAAGCACTCAAACATCAAGTTGATTAAACGCATGGTATGTTATTTAAAAAAGAATTATTCAAGAACAAAAAGATCAACACAAAATTAGGTTATTATAAATATGTTTATACAAATCAGATTTTTCATATACATAATTAAATAACTTAAAATTAATAAATCTGATGGTGTATAGATAGAATTCAATAATCTTAACTGTTTATTAAATCATGGAATTTGATAACGTCTTCATGGGATTTCATAAATCCGAGACTTTTGTAAAGTCACTGAATTCCACTATTTGGTTATTATTGTCAAGATGAAGGCGGTTAAAAGCATCAAAGACTTCTGACTGATAAGTTTGTGGACTGTATATTTATGCTTATCTTAAAGGTTCTAGCCAAGCATTTATCGATGGTGTTGGGGAAGTGACTGGGGAAAGGCAGCATACTTTTGTGAAGGGTAGGAAGATTATGGATGTTGTTATGGTGGTAAGTGAAGTGGTGGATGAATTGGTGAGTAGCAAGAGGGAAGAAATTCTTTGTAGACTAGACATGGAAAAAGCATATGATCATGTTAGTTGAGA